TTTGCCATAATCCTTGTTTCTCACACAACTCAAAGAATAAACCTGTTAGTAGCAGTGAGCACAGCAACAGCATTGACAAAGTTTTCAGCAGTGGAAAAATTCATTTCCATCTGAAGAGTGAAATGCTACAAGGCCGAGAGATCAATGTCTACGATGTCCTCTTCAGAAGTGGAGGCTGAAGAGCTTTGTGGGGCAAGGGGCTCGGTACCAGCTGATCACAGGTATGCAGCAGAGAACATAACGAACCACGATGACAGCAGGGAAATACAGCACTTGAGGACCAAGACAGAAAACAAGTCAGGGAAGCCTCCCTTGTTTTTCCCCTGAAGCCTTCATTGAAGTTTTGCTTTCTGTTTTTCCATACATAATAGCAAAGCCATAGCTGGCTTTTGGCCTACAAGGAAGCTGGAGGGACTTTTTACAAGGGCCTGTAGTGACAGGACAAGGGGTAACAGGTTTAAATTGAAAGCAGGGAGGTTTAGATTAGATATCAGGAAGAAATTCTTCACGGAGAGGGTGGTGAGGCACTGGAACAGGTTGCCCAGAGAAGCTGTGGATGCCCCGTCCCTGGAAGTGTTCCAGGCCAGGCTGGATGAGGCTTTGAGCAACCTGGTCTAGTGGAAGGTGTCCCTGCCCATGGCAGGGGGGTTGGAGCTAGATGGTCTTTAAGGTCCCTTCCAACCCAAACCATTCTGTGATTCTATGGCTTTTATTACAAATCTTTAGACGATCTGGTTCTCTTCTGGCACTAAACTTGGGTGATAAAGCCTACACCTCAGAAACCTGTCTGAGCTCTCGTAAACCACTGAAGAGAAGACAGACTGTGGGACCTTTTAACACCACACACTTTTAGTCAAAATGAGAAGAACACTCATTTCCTGTGATCCCAAGGGAAGTTTTTGAGTAAAGTCATTTTAAAGGTGATGTTAGACTCAACTGTGAACTAAAGAAAGAAAACATCTGTTATTTGCTGCCAAGACGTAGAGAATTTGCCATTGGTATAGATAACTGATGTCATTAATGAAAAAACCTTCCAGTTTGATCTTGGAAAGCCTTTTAAGGTAAGCTACATTTTATATTACCACTCAGTTCTTTTCTTTTTCACAAGTAACTTATGTGCAAATACAACTGAAATATAACCTAGAGAAAAAAGGGATGAATTGTTTCCTAATCATAAAACAAAGAAACTAACTTCTACTTTCTTTACAGAGAAAACTGCTAAGAAAGTTAACATTACAGAAGGTTTCTCTTGCTTTATGGTTTAAAAACCAAGCTCCTTAACTGTGCATGAAATTTTTAAATATAGAAAACTGTGACTTCATCCACATCTGCTGTATACAATGATGTATCTGGCATTATTGCCCAATTACAATAGTTTTCCTACTAGCAGCTTTTAGTTAAGTTGAACACTTCTATTCAAAAATTGAAGACCACTCCATAAATGCCTTAATTGGTCACTTCAGGAGTTCAAGAAAATACACGCTTGAACAACCAACTGAAGCACTGAATAAGTATACTGTAAAAGGAAAATTTCACAATTGCATTCACCAAAATCTGAACACTTTTCCCCCACACTGTTTTGTAAACCTTATCTTTTGAGGAAGACTGAGACAGTCGATTTTATTATAAGAGAACCCCATGCACCGCCAAAAGAATAACACTTTTACTCTCAACACACATTTTCTGGGTACATAAAATGTAGCAGGCTGCAGAACTGGAAACTACTCCCCTACACTGAGGTGTCACAACTCTTACAAGGTGTGTCTGTGCCCTGAGCTTCACCTGACAGGAAAGGCAAAACTCAAGTATTAAAGGGATCACACAGGAAAGTGACTGGAGTTTCAATACTGGGCTGAACCCCATTTTCTGCATCTGTAAACAGCAATGAGTAGCCTAAAGAAAGACTTGTTTTTATGTTTGTGAAGAACTTTTCAGACGAGGTTTGTATAGTCTAGCATGAACAATATATTAAAAGGAACCCAAAGCTCAATGCTATCTCCTCATGGGGCATCTGGGTAACAGACTACTACTTTATCTTTCTTGTCTTCCATTTCTTTGAGGTTTCCTTCCATAAGTTCCAAATATGCTGTGGTGTGCAGTGCTTTCAGTGTTTCAGATGCTATAAATCACTGCATCCTAAGAAGATTCCGTACGTATGCCTTGGTTACATGTAAAACACTGTCCATCATAAGCATGATCTTCAGAACTGCATTACAAGATATTTCAGAGCATAAAAGTCTCCCTACTGAGGCACTTAAAGGAATGAGCACTCTAAAAATAGCATCCTGAGGAGAGCACGAGATCTATTCTGAGGGACAGACCAAGCAGCAGCAGGTTAACAGCTTAAGAACTGCAAGTGGAAAAAGATATGAAAGGCATAACCTGGTAAAAATTAAAAGTCTTGCAGAAAAATGATGAGATTACTGTAAAAGATTATGTACATGTGCAATACATAGGGCAGCAGTCAGCACACAACGAGACAAGGTATGTTGAAAGGACATGTGGATGTGTTCTTCCACCAAGCTGCAGAAAGTGTTGATGACCTTAGCTTAGATGGGGTGAATTCTGACTAACCTGAGGAACACAAGATGATTCTGTTGTTAGGCACTCTTGCCTGGAAAAAAAAATAACCCCAACAAAACCACCAAAGCATACTGTTTTTTCTTGACGCACACAGAAACAGTCAACAGAGTATTCCTAACCACGATACAGTCCAGAAGAATATGATCTGGGTTTCCAGTTAGTCCTACTTTTCAGTAGTAATGAATACACTGGGGTCCTGAAAAAACACAAGACAAGGACACAGACAAAGCAGCAGAAAAAACCTATTTTCTTTCACATAATTGGACTGAGTGGTTTCCAGAAAGAACGCCAACTGAATGTAGTTGTGCTTATTTTTATAAAATGAATGGACAAAATAATTGCCTGTTACCTTTACCCCATTTTGTGTTGGGGGTCAAGCTCTATGCTATTAATATACAGGCACAGTTACATGAAATACATTATTCTGTTTTTCTTTTCCATTTATGAATGTATTTTGGGAGAGCTGTTTCTGACACTGTGATCTTGCTGACAGACCTCGGTCACATCTGGTTTTACCAGCATTCCAGTTAACTCAATAACTATTTTAAAATAATGTTTGGTACAGTCAACAACAGTCAAGGATCAGAGAATGGGAATAACACGCTCTGCAGGAAGCTCAGAAGGCTCCCTTAAACCCCTGAACTGAATAACATCCACAGGTGAGAACAGGTACATGGCAAGATGGGGTAGGCTGTCCAGGTTTAAAGGAAATTAGATGAAAGCAGAAGAACCATTAGAAAAATATTTCTAATGTTTGTAAGGCAAAACAGTCCCATGCACCATAAATTTAGTTTTGGAAAGAGTAGATTTATTTCCTTGCCACAGAAAAGCCTAGTGAACTTAAACCTGAAAATATATGCATAGTTTTACTTTTCCTTGGATTTTAAAAGTTGTATTAAGTCCTTCCATTAGACAAACAGAAGCAGATCTGAAGAGACCTTTACCATTCTGGTGATGAATGCTCATAGAAACAGACATACAATATCTAAGAGCGGGCAAAAGCACATATTGGAAAGGACATCAGTCAAAACAGAGTTCTTTGGCCTGGAGGAGGAGAAAGATCTTTTATAGGGAACCTTTAAAGTACAGACAAGTCTGACAGGAACAATAAAACAGTCAGCGGTACAGAGTTAGAAGTATGAAGCTGAAATCCAGAAATCACAAAAGGAATACAAAAGGAAGAATTAAAAAAGACTTAGAGACTGAGTATGTGTATACTTGTGTGCGTGTGCACGCACGTGTGTTGGTAAACAGGGCAGGCGAGTTGCAGCACGGCCCATTCATATCCAGACATGCCATTCCAGACATGCTATTTTTGTTGCTGCACTTCAAATAGCTGCAAGAATAGCGTGTGGGAACTGCTAGTTCAGGAACAGGGATGATGACTGCTTTATGCGGTAAAATTAGTTTGCTTTGACAATTTTTATCTTGCTGTAGCCTAATAGAGGAACCCCAACAAAAGGCCATAATAAATTCAACTTATCTTATGTATGCAGTGTAAGACATAAGAGTAGGTGAAATGAAAAGTCTTACTAGTCATTAAGTGCTGCATTTCTCAGGACCTTAATCTCATCTTCTTAATATTCCTGTGAGTTTTCCACACTAATACAATTTGCCTTTGTTAACTCAGGAATGTTTTCAATACTGGTTTACATCATTTATAGAAAATACCCTGCACACCTAATTGCTTACTCAAACGAGTATTTCTTTGAGCAATCAGAAACAGAAATAAATGGCAGTGGAAAAGACATCACTGACAGCATTCCCTAAATTTTCAACTGTCAATGGGAAAAGAAAGATAAATATTTTAAGCGGGCTGGCTTTCAAAGTGTAAAAACCTGCAGCTCCTCATGTAACATGAGGAAACTATCAAGACTGTACTTCTCAACCTTTGGTAATGACCTTAAATAAATAGAAATGTACATGTTTTTTGAACATTCGCTCATACTGCTTTAGTCCTGTACAGTTTTCTCTCAAAATGTTAGTACAAGACTAACTTTGACGCAAGCAAGCATACAAACCTAAGCCTGATGTTTACCTGCATCGAGGCCTCTCAAACAGGTGGCTGTGTTGAAGTACAGCGTAAAGTATATGCAGATTACATCATAACATGAAGACTTACACTTTTCATTATAAATGGCTTCCTTTAACAGACTGAGCAGTTTACAGCACTCACAGTGTCCCCATGATCACAGTTTCCAGGTGTCACCACGTAACATGCAACTTTCTCAAGCAAACATATTTCCTTGAGTTGCTTAAGCCATACACTGCTTTAAGCTCTCAGCTAATTAACAAAGGCAAGTTTTGTGTATTATGCATCATGTAGTTTATTTCTAACACAGTGCATTAATAATTTATATTTTAAATGACGGGCACTTCAACCACTCACAATGCAGCTGCAAGTAACTTTTCATTACCTGATCTTGTGATTTCTTTTTCTTCTTCTTCTTCCCCCAGCACCCTGAACTCTCTGCATCTTTTCCATTGGCATCACCACAGAGTAATCCATCAAGTTCATCTGTTCCCATCTGCTGTCCCTGAGATGTTTCTGCAGCTAGCCTGTATGAGAGGTTCCTCAAAATGCACACACAGTTTTCAACGGTCTGAAGAGTGTGACAAAAAAAATAAACCAACAGAGAAAAAGTTAAAACCCTTTCCTTGCTCAGTCTGTACACACAGCAGAAGAAATACCATTGATCTTTGCCCATACATTTTCCCAGCCCAATTCTTATCTGCTCATTTCTGAGCGCTCCCCAGGTAATCGCAGCTCAAGGGGTTTAGAAATTTTTATGAAAAGAAATTGGTAGTCTGGACAATATTTCTTGTGTGAGTTTTCTTTATTATCATCCTGAACTTCATGCTGGAGCCCCATGCGAAACAGAAGCTGAGATAAAATGTGATCAAGATAATCTGAACACACAAAGAATGTCAGCAAACCGCCACCTCAGTGAACAGAAAATGGTATTTTCATCCATTTGTCCCCCTGGCAGTACAGAAGCCTACTTTCTCCAAAAGGTGGTGGTGGGAATCCAGAAATTCAAGATAAATTCAAGATAAATTCTTTAAGTCTATAAGAAGCTCAGTTTAGACTCGCTGGAAGCCTACTCATCCAGAAATGCAGTGAGAGCCAGTGGAGGAAAAAGGACAGCACTCAAAATTCAAGATAAATTCTTTAAGTCTATAAGAAGCTCAGTTTAGACTCGCTGGAAGCCTACTCATTCAGTTAGTTCGTTTGGTTGGACTCCCCTTAACAGCAAGGATATGTGCTCAGTTTACTAGAGACAGGGAAAGCATGGTTAGAAAAGCCAATCTGTACCCATTTCAACTACTGCTGCATGGAGATGAAAAGCAATAGTCACTACATTCCACCTCTGCTGCTCCGTTAACCCAGAATGGAATAACGGTGAGGCTTTTGGCTTGATCGTACTCTGCCACATTCACCACTGAGGCAAACAGAGGGGGTTTCATTTTCTTCCATATATTGTCTACACCTGTATCAGATATGCATTTGGCACATGGTTTTTGAGATGACATTAAGTTCCAGAAATGATACGCAACACGGAACTCTCACTCACCTGACAGGATTTTGTATTTCTTTGAAATACACAAATAAAATTTCACATTACACTTGTACTAATTTGACATTTCCAGCCAAATATGTAAACACATACAGAAATACATACTTAGAAAATGTGAAATAACTCAGTACACCTTTCATACCTCAAAGCTCTGCAGATCTCATGGTGACCCTAAAACATTTGCTACCTGTTTGCCTTTAACATTTCCATATTCTACTTTTATTCACTTTGCTAATATTTATTTCTGTACATCCATAATGTGAAGTTGAAGCTTTGCATTTGTTGATTAGGGTTCTGAATTTTAATACCCCTTTTTAGAAATAATATCTTTCACACTTAAAATACTCATGTCAAAACAAATTAGCTAAGCCCACTGCGAGGGTAACGTTACCTCAGACTAAAAACTGATAAGCAAACTTCCAAGCCTTGAAGTTCCAAGCCGCAAACACCTTCTGTGCTAAGATGATCTTGTAACAAGCCAAGGAAGCCAGTTCTAGTCACAGTTGGACAAACTTCACTCCTCTGACTTGTAGCTTTCAACTTTCAAGATTCCTTGTATCCCTCATTCCTAGACATGTTTTTCAGCTTCATTGTAAGGGAACTAAATATGAGTTCAGTAGTCTTAATAGATCAGATCAGAATTATGGATAGTAACTTTGTCAGGTAACCATGTCTAAGTCACTATTTTTTAAACACTTTAAATTGAAGTATCAGAAATTTTTTTCTTATTAGACATTTATAAGGAACACTGCTGCTAACATGCTTGTAATGCTGCTAAGATTTATGTACTCCTGATGTCACCAAAATGAAGAATAACAACACTGCATGCCCTTGCAAGTGCCCCATCCTCTTTCAGAGCCTGCAAGAGCAGGAACCTGTTTTTCAGTACTTCTTAGTCACGATCAGCATTACAGAATTATCTAATAGGGCAACTGTCATGGCATTTGGAAAATAACATTTATGATTTTATTTTAAACTTCCATTTTTTTGTTATAGCATTTTTGAAACTAGATTAAAAACTTGAGACAGTTATTTAAATACTTAACTAAAATTACATTCTACTTTGGAATGAAGATGCAAGGTAAGAGGCTACAATACGGTGTTTGTATTTAGCTGCACAACTGCTTTATGTCATACTGCTAAAAACCTGTTAGACAGAAGGTTAAAACTAGTAAGGCAATGAGAAAATTTTTCTCTCTCATTTCTTCCATTTTTCCTCCAGATATAACTCAGCCTGCAGTTTTTCCAAGTCATACCAACTACAAATGAGAGTGTAAACAGAACAGTCTATATTAACAACGAGAGGAAAAACAGGGACCTCACTGTGCTCCTTATTTAGCCTTTTTAACAGCAAAACAATCTTGAAATCGGTTGGGTCACCTAAAAAGAAACTACTGAAAAAGCAGCAGCTGAGCTGTGAGATGGACCATGAACTGATTTACTTCTTCCTCTCTTTTCCATCCACCTCCTACTCTGCTCCAATGAAGCCCATCTAATTTCTTCTTCCTGTTAGGCAAGCCAAATCAGGGAGGTTTGACACAGCCCCCGGGGTTTGGCTTTTCCACAACTAACGAAGCTAAGGACACTCAGGCATCTGGGGGCTGGTTTGTCCTGAACCCTGCTGCAAGCTCAGTGCCCACCTGTGGCTGGACCTCCTCCGACCACCCCTCTGATAAACTTCTATTAATGGTGAACCGATCACAGGGTAATGGGCTGTGGGTTTGGTGATATTTTTTTTTTTTGGTGGTTTTATTTTTGCCTTTGAAACACAAAACCATGCTGCTGCCCCAACACCACATGCTACAAACATATTCTCATTCCTCTCTCCATCCCCTGGACACGTGGACAAATTTCACTTATTTGGTTCAGACTAACAGCCAGAAAGTCCAGGGGCTTATCCCTCTCCAACCTATAAACTCACAGAGGTCCATGGATAACAGTCTGTGAAAGACATTCAGAAATACACACCCAATGGGCTTTGAAACTTTGCTGTATAAAAGGCTGCTCTCCTGCAATTATTAGGGGTTTGCAAATGGAACAAGGTTGCTGTAGAGCAGTAACTGTAATTAATTCAGCACCATCTACTGAAAGCAAAAGCTATTCAAAACTAGACTCTTGCTTCTCTGGAATACTTTAATGTGTTACAAATCTTCAAATTGTAAACGCTTGAAACCTTTCTAATAAGGCAGTGCCTTTCAGCTTTGGAGAAGCGCGTTCCTACCCTAGTACTTTCAGAGAAGTTGAAATAAAAATGCATCTTAAAACCATTGCTACTAAAAGCATTCATTGATCCTCTTCAAAGAGGAAATAATATTGGTAGTACTGCAAAACTGCCTATTAATTGCCCAGTTTGTTTGCCTGGTAAGCTTACCTCACTGTTATTAGCTCTGTCTTGCACTGAGTACCAAAAAAAAAAAAATTTAAGGTGAACCTTGTAGAGAAACTTGTGAAGTTTACATGGAATATGACACATTTGCTCTTCTTAAACCTGTATCATATTTTCTACCTTATTAATTCAAGTGAGAGGATGACACGCTTACCTTCACACACACTACACAGGTAGACCCCTTAGCACACAAAAATACACAGCTCAACAGAAGAAAAAGATAGGCTAAATTATGCTTTGTTAAGGCACCCCTCGCAATGCATCTAAATAAACAACCCTGTCACTTCATAGTCCCAATGCACCCTGAATCCCTGGATTTCTTGCTCCTGAAAAGACAAAGATGACAAACCTTACTATCAATTTCACTGCTCCCCAGAGCAGACTGGATCACGTACAGCAATGCATCCGTCAGGCCGTCGCACTCCCTCATTCTTCTGCGGGCCTCCTCTCCAGCAGAGCTGACATTCCTGCAAGGCAACAGCAAGAGTCACCACCTCCGCTGCCCCTCCCGGAACACGCTCCCAGTTAACCGACAGGTAAAACACTCGGTTGTTTTCTCCTTTCGTCAGCTCAGAGCTGTGAATATCGAGGGCAGCTGTGAGGGAGCTCCGGAAATGTAATGCAGAGACGAACACATGGAAGTCGTCAGGTCCTCCCCAAGAAGGGGTGAAGAGGCCAAGTAGCATCCGTCCACCTGAGCAGGCACGCTCACGGCCCACTAACATTTGGGGAAGGGCTGATAATTTTGTTTTCATTTTTTTTTTGTTTTTGTTTTAAAGTAGGTTTTATATTTGTGAGGAAGTGTTTTTACAATGTGCACATGTACGTATATATATCAATAAGGCTTTGAAAAGTCTAGAGGTTTTGCCAAAAGAAATCTCCTAGGATTTGAGGATCTCAGTAGTTAGGGCTCTTAACCTGAGAGAAAAATAGTATCAAAGCATAACATGAAACACCTGGTATTGCTTACTTCTCATTTCATGTGAGTGCTTCCTTTCTTCTCTTACTTTGAGAGAACATTAATGCCTCAATCTTCTACTTACTCAAAAGTTGGTTTACATTGCAAAATTTAAAACGTCAGCTTATTATAATAACAGTGTTCCTCAGAGAGAGCCAGGGGGCATTCTGAACGCATTTATACAAACAAAATTAAAACTAAATTTACTGGATAACATAAGGTGTCCCAAAGTCCGAAATATTGATATCTAAAAAACCAAATATGTATGAATGAATATATATATAAATAGAATTGATACTTGCTAACATCAAGCCTCCCTGATAAAAATTGCATTTGAACTTGCACAGCAGTTTTGATTTGGAAATGGGTGAAGTAGCAATCTCAGCAATGTGGTAAAACATTCCAGAGTCTCCTTCGGAAGGGGAAGACAACCTCTGCTGAGGTGGCTCCTCTGCAGCTCCTCTCTCCCCAACCCCGACGTCTATGAAAAGGAAGAACAGAAAAGAACACACCAGCCCTAAATACTTAATGCCAATGTACAGAAATGGAAAGGGGAGGGAGGCCATTGGCCCTTTTGATTTGGGAAGAAGGCAAGGCACTTTCTTCCTCTTACACCATTTTCAGCTGCCTTTGCTTTACAAATGGCAAAAGGATGAGAATCCTGTGAGTTGGGGAATGAATCTGAGACGGAGGAAGCAGAGAGGACTTAAGGACAGGCTTCCTTTCAACTCTTTCTTTGCTCTACCTGCTTCACCCTGTTCTGCCTACCTAAAAAAATAAAGCACTTCTGTTTCCTCAAAGCTCCAAAGAGTTTTCCTAATCAAATAATCTTATAACTGGAGAATCCCCCAGCCCCTCCAATACAGGTTCCTGATTGATTCTGCTCCCTAAACACACAGGATTTTCCATCTATACTTGTATCCCCACACAGTCCTAATTAGTTCTGTTCTCCCACACACAAGTTGCCCCAATTAATTCAATACTTGTTCTCATCACCTCTGCAGACAGTCTGACAACAAATACACAGCCCAGGAGCACTCGACTCAATTCCTTTATCTTCCTAGCACACAGATTCAGGCTTTCTGTTCTCCCTGAGATTCCCCAGTTCACCCCACATCACACAGCAGACGTGTGCCCTTCATAATGACTTGCCAGTTTTGTGTTGTCTTGTTCTGCTTCTGGTGCCTGAATCGTGTACTTCTTCCCCCTCTCTCTCTGCTGCTATAGGAGCATCAGATGAGGGGTATTCCTCCAATTCATGGGGAAACCCTCTTCTGTCATCCAGGAATTCAGGTCTGGAAAAAGTCATCTATTGGCTCTCCCTTCGAAGTGATAGAAACCTTTTTGTTTCACTTTGGGTGACAGAAATCAGAAGATAAAAATTATAGAGTCTGTTTTTTCCAAAACAGTGCCTGTGTTCTATATTTGTGGGTCTGGGAAATCTGCCTAAAGTGTATTTTGAATGGACTGTCCCCTTATTAAAGGCAACAGGTCCACATGAAATCTTAGAAGGGCAGCACACACAGGAAAAGCAGAATCATGGATCTGAAAAGTGCATTGTGGTTTGGCAGTGAGGACAAGGGGGATTAGTGGATTTATTTGAAATTCTACTCTCCCACCCCCCAGGAACATACAGATCGAGAGAGAGTTGTATCCAGCCCTATAAAGATAACCGCACAAATTACAAGAGGAGGATGCTGAGGAAGTGTTCTCAGCACACCATCTTTCCTTGCACCACTAGCAGAAGAAAAGCTGAAACATTACTGAATCCTTCTAAACAAAACTAGATGCAACAGCATGTACTAACATAATGTGTCCATGCTTCTTTCTGTTCTGCAGGTACATATATTGGGTGCAAGCTTTCAAAACGTAAAGACTTAAACATCGGTAGAAACAGAGACATTCTCCTTGACTGAGGTGACTTCTCCTTCTCCCTAGCACAGCCAAATGTACGTCACCCTGACTCTCCAGAGCCTGCAGAGACTGGCAGCCTCTCAGCTCCTGCCCAAGATCTCCAGGAAATCCTCCTCACCATGACAGCAGTGCAGACAACCTTACGGTCCCTGAGCTGCCAGCCTCATTCATTTCCAGCCCAGCAAAGAGTAGGAGGTCTTCATACAAAGTAGTACAGACACTCCAGGGGCACGTCTTGCACAGACAATGCATTCCTCTGCCCTGCGTGGAGGAGCTGTCGAGTTCAGTTCTTCTCTTTACCATTCTTCCCCATTATGCTCCAGTTGCTTCTGTAACCAAGAGGTGGATACACTGAATACCCATGATAGCTTTTCCTTTTCTTTTAAAAGTCTGTCTGGTTTCTGCACTGACTCATACTTACTTCTGCCCTCCCCAGATTTGGTGTATTTACATGGGAAACATCTTAAAACCCAAGTCAAATCCAAACCTTGCATCACCATTTAGGCAGAAATAGTAATTTGATTGTTTAAAAATAAATACATCCCATTATCTAAGTACTCCCCCTTCATATCTATTGAAGGAATTACTGTTAACTGAGATCTTTCACAGGTCTCTAATGTACCACGTTCAGGCTATGTAGTTCTGTGAAAGAGAAGCAAGTTCCAGATTACTTGAGCTGTCACAGAAAACACACTGCCATCTTAATTTTCTTATTTCTCATTGTTCACTTGAACACACTGCAGCTGTCGGTGTGACAGGGAGTAAGACACAATTTGTCATTTGCGGATTTACAGGGTACTGTGCAAACAAACTGGAGCACTACTGTCGGTAACATGTCCCACTAAGTAAGCTCATATTTCTCCAGCCTCAGTCTCCAAACTTGTGAAACCACATTTTCTGTATTTTTAAAGAGATGTGGAGATACAATACACAGGTTTGCAGGAAAAAATCTTACTTTTCCATCGTAAAGGCAGCCCAGCAAACCCTTGACTGACTGGTAAATATTGATTCTTTATGGAAACTCTACTCACAGGGTATGAGGTTTAGGCTGATGTTTTGAGTCTAACAGAACAAGGAGTCCTTTAAACCTCTACAAACCGGTAACATTAATTTCAGATGGAATCCAGTCACACAGGAATACCAAAAACACAGAGTGCTGAAGAGTGCATAGTCAGAAGGCCCCACGCAGACCACCAAAAAGAAGCTAATGTAAATAGCTGCTTCTCAGGAGAGGAACACCAAGAACAGATAGTCACAACAAGAGCTCAGACCGATGACTCAAGCTGCTGGTTTCTGAACAAATGGTAGACCCATTTTGCTAATAAACTAGGAATGGAACGAGAACTGCAATACTACAGCTTCAGTTTATGGGAGGATGTGTCGCAGCTATCATGTCATCACCTGATAACTAAGAGCAGGAGCGATCCTCCAAGCATGCATCAGGGGTGTCAATTCAATGCTCTACGGATATGAAGTGTGCGGTATGAAGGAACGCACTCTGCAACACATACCTGAACCCCCTCAACCCTAGCACCTACTCAGCATAACTGGTGGTATTTGAGGTAGGGACGGATGGCTAGTGCCAAGCAATTTCTTTCTCCTTTAGGGTCATTTTCCATATGCTGCTAACAAACTGTGGGAGGTTTCGGGCAATATCCTTATGACTAGAATAACTTGCCTTATCCAGGGGAAGGACATTGAATTCTATGGAAAGATCATCCAGAAAGCCAGAGTGCTGAGATACATGCCCTCTGGATATGGGAATATTTGGCAAGCTGTTGACATTACTCCCAGAGGCAGTTCTACAAATCTCAAGGACCGAACTAAAGTATCTACAGAAGCAACTGCCCTCCTTGAGTGTGCTCAGGCCACATCAGGCAGTATGACCTTTCCTGTACCAGCTACAGGTCCGCAGATCTCACTGCAGTCATGTAGGACAACTGCTGAGAACAGATAATCCGTATTTAGCAAAGATGAAAATGTGATGTGTCTTCCTCAAGGCCCCACGATAAAAAGAGAAAACTTGTTTAATATCTAGCATACGTAACATTTTTGTTATGGACTGTTGTGATGTAAGACAGACACAGGAAGGGCATTATCCTAAATCAGGTGGAACACAGAAGTTATCTTTGGTCTGAAACTTTAGATGCGGCCGAAATATACCATGATTCCAAAAAGTTTTGCGTAAGAGGGACTAATCATAACAGTGCAATCTTTTTTGTCCTTCTACTTGTTCTAATAGCCACCAAAAAGAGATTTTTCTCAGAAAGAGGGAAGTTTATATCAACCAAGAATTCAAAAACTTCCATTAAAGCTGTAGGAACCACATTTATGTTTCCCTGAGGACAACTAGCAAGGGAAAAGCCCCCAGGAGAATACTGAATAACCAAGTTGCAACTGACGCAACGAATACTTATCTTTAAAACACATACATTGGAATAATAAAAAAAAAAAAATCCCTCATACTGGCCTCCTCTACACGTTCTCTCTTATATGCTGCCTGTTTTTATTTCAGTCAGATTTTCTCTGTCTGAAGCATTCTCCTTCAGGGACAGAGCCTTGTCTCCATGGCAGGCTGGCATCCCCAGTCCCACC